GTATTCAGTAAATACCCCATGATATTCAGTAACTACCACATGGTACTCAGTAACTACCACCTAGTACTCAGTAATTACCACATGGTATGCAGTAATTATTGTATGTTCCACTCCACTTTCATTTTGTATGGACCTATACAGACCTCAAGAAAATGTTCCTGACATTACAATCGTTCTTTTGCCTGATATCGAAGACTTCTCCTGCCATAGTCATCTGTATCCACTTCTGTTAGTCTGGAGAATACCTACCTACCTGTTTACATCATAAGAAACTATATTCAGATAAGTCTTAAGTTTGATACACAAGGTACGCTTTTATTTTATAATTTTGAGACAACAGATTTAATAACCTGGTAAATTATCACTATTTATCCCACATATTGTAGTCAAAATTATTTTTATTTAACGTTATGAGTTATAATTTGATTCGTACAGTACACTCTTGCTTAGCTATGATATTTTATATGAAAATTATTAACACGTATTCATTTTAAAGGTTTTTGTACACGACATGTTTCGAAACATCATCGTATTGAGACATACATAAATTTCACCTGTTTTTATTAAGTAGCTTACTTATTTCAAAGAATGCAGTTACTAAATTCAAATCTATTTAAAATAACTTGCGATTTTATTGGGATCACTGTGACTAATTGTTGATACTTGTGTTCGTTTTCAATAAATGTTTAATGTAGAATAGTTATTTCTGACTTTTATTCCTGATAAACATAATAGACCCTTAATGCTGTTGATTACTTTATTTTAGCTATGTTGTGATATCGTATTTTTCTTTTTGGTTTCTTACTTTACCACTCTCATAAACAAAGTAAGTGGCGCCCTTTTCACTGTCTTTGACCATACCTATTTGAATTCTTAACATCAATATTAAAATCTCTGTAGCCTATATATTATCATTTTTTATTTTAATATTTAACAACATTAGAAAGTCACTGTGAGTCAGAAGCCTTACCTACGAACCCAGCTTTCCTCTAACCCTGAGCAACGGATTCTTTTTTCATTCTATTTGGGTAACGACAGAAAAGTCGTCACAATACGTACCCTGCTGGCAGCCAAAAGGTCCTGGCTGAGCAACCTAGAGTTTCTTGCAGGATCCATCCTAGCTCCCCTCATTAAGCTTCGGTCCTCGCTGGTATTTGTCGTCTATGCCTCTTCATGACAGATCCAGTCTCATTAAATCGGTTTTTAAGACTAGAACTTACACTTTAGGTGACTTTAAATCGATCAGCCACATCGATCTGTCGCGCACTGCCAAGAAGCAACCCAATGGCTTGATTTGCTTCCTCTACTGTTAAATGACGTCTGTTCATATTATCGATGATAGAATAACCACAATATCGCAAACTGCCGCTTAGCAACACGCAAACAAATTCTATTCTAAACAAAGATTAAATGTACATTTTTAATGATAATGCTTTTTATTTGTTTGGGTACAATTTTTTATGTTTACAAACATTATTTTTTTAAATACAAACGACATAGGTATTAATAGTTATAACACATTTTTTCTGAAAAATGTTCTTACTAACTAAAACACAATATCCTTAACTTTTTTCGATTAGTTTATATTTTTTTATGAATGTCTTTCCTTCAAAAAATTGGAGTTAATACCTTCAAAAAATTAGAGTTAATATACAAGCGAATAGTATTCTAGCTTTATAATATTATAATGTTTTTTTTTATATTTTTATTAAAAAACGATAATTTTATCACCCGGCCGGATAACCCTAGCAGCAGTGACAATAAATGTTCTGTCTAATTGTATACCAATACTTCTTAACTGAATTCAGTCAATATTTACTGGCATACTTCATAAAAGCAAAATTTATTGTTCCATGATATAAAACTTTTAAGATTGTGCGAGATGAAGAACATTGACGACTATTCATTAAAATAACTTCTTTTATTACTTGTATTCTGAGCTAAAAGACCGTATCGTACCATCGATCGTAAACACACCACATACTACTATTAAGACGTTCCACGTAAAGTCGTAAAGTCAAAATGCATTTCGCGGAATGAATTGTCACCAAAGCCGAGTGATCAAAACACGGTGGCCGCGGCCCAAATGTGCCCTTTGAACTTCACGTCCATAAATCAAGTCGCCTTGGAACACCGTTCGGACAGTAGAGATACTCTCTCTCGATATGAAAGCACCACTGATGAACTTTTACGCCAATTTTCATTACGTTTCATTTATTATTTTAAATCACCTCTTGGTCCATGGGTTATAAAATAGTCCGAACGTTATTATATAGAATATTTCACTCATGTACAAAAAATCCCATATGAAGCGGGTAATTTTCGGCGAAAATTGACCGCTAAAATCGAAAATTACCCGGCGAAAATTTCCCGCAGAATGTCTAAGTGACAATGACAAATTTGTCACTTAGACGTAAATTAGTATTTTTAATAGGTATTCTAAAAATGTCTCGATTTGGAAACGATTCTTTAAGTGCAATTGAAGAAAAAGTTGCCGAAAGTAAGCCGAAAAACACTATAATTAATCACCAGTATGTATGGAAACAGTTAACAGTTTATGGACTTTATAAAAGATAGAAACTACATTTTGGATGCGAACATCTCAATCTCGGCACTGGCCAATATTTTGACCGATTGGGCATTTAATATGAAAAGGGAAAACGGCTAGGACTATGGTAATTATGCAGTATAGGTGTTGTAATATGTCATGGTCTTGAAATAAAACTATACTAGTTAGTAGTATTCCGTGTTACCAAATAACAATAAAAGGGAGTTACAACAATTAGAAAATGTGCAGATATATTCGTGCCTACGTGACCAACTAGTATCTAGCTACAGATGACTGTTTTGTGTCTATTGTCAACTAGAGAGCTACTGCACTTAAATGATAGGGACATGTCACCTCTTATCACACATCTCCCCCATCATAAATCTAGTTTTTGAGGTTTTCTTACAACCCTACCAGATCTTGTTTTAGGAATCAGCTGTTTAGTTATACTAGGACATTTATCAAGTTCAATTTCTAGATCAGCTTCAGGTAATCCTTCCACAAGTTCTGCTGGTTGTTCGACATTCTTTAAATTACTATTACTAGTAGAGCATTCATAAAGAGGTGGAACATTAGGAACAAACTTATTTGTGCTTTCCTTTAAATCGATTCTATTTCTTCTAACAACATTATTTTCACTATCTTTGATTAAATACGATCTTGGAGTGGAGTGCTCACAAATAACTTGACCTGGTTCCCACTTCTTCTTTACATGATTATATACATTAATATCTGCATTAGGACAAATCGGTTTTAAATCTTTAGCCTGTCTATTGTAATATTTCTTATAACAATTTTGCCTTTCTTGTAGTTTTTCATAAACATTTTGACACAATTTTGGTTTTAAAAATTCATTATTACTAGGTAATTTAGTTTTACAATTACGGCTCATAAGTAATTGTGCAGGACTATAATCAATATATTTGAGAGGGGAGTTCCGATACTGTAACAATGCTATATCAAGGCCATCACTTTTGCCTTCGCTTTTTTTAATTATATTTTTCGCAATACCTACTCCTCTTTCAGCAAGACCGTTTGAGCGAGGATAATTAGGACTTCTTGTTACAACTTCAAAATTCCACTCTCTAGCAAATGATTTAAATTCACAACTGTTAAAAGGAACATTATCAGAAATTACACAATCTGGCGAACCATGAGTAGAAAATACTCTTCTTAAAACTAAAATTACAGATTTTGCGGATTTGTCTTTAATAGGTAATACTTCAAGCCAATTAGAGAATGAATCAAATGCTATTAGAAAACTCTGATTATTAAAAGTAAAAATATCTAAGCCAATTCTTTCCCACGGTCGACTTGAAATAGGATACAGCATTAATGTTTCTTTCTGATGTCGTTTAGCATAAGTTTCACAAATTCTACAATCTTTTATAAATGATTCAATATCATAAGTCATTCTAGGCCAATAAAATATTTGACGTGCTCGCGATTTTGTTTTTTCGATACCAAAATGACCTTCATGTAATAATTTTAGCATTTCTTTACGAAGTTCTTGAGGAACAACTATTTTGTTGTCTAAAAATAATAAACTATCTGAAACAAAAAGTTTGTCTCTTAAATGAAAATACTTCCAAATATTTAGAGGAACTTTCTTTTTCTGTTCTGGCCATGTATTTTCACAATATTTGATTACTAACTGTAGGTCTTTATCATTACTTAAAGCATTTTTAAACTGACATTTCCTAGTTTCAGACATAGGAAGATACTTATTAATACAGTGTATAACATAATCAAATTCTCTGTCTGATTTTAATCCTGTATCAAGAAGAAAAGCACGTGATAGGGTATCTGCGATAAACAAATATTTACCTGGCTTATATGACACACTTAATTTATAATTTAATAAACGTAAACGCATTCTTTGTAATCTTGGTGTTATTGATGCCAAATCTTTACAAAAAATTGCTTCTAGAGGCTTATGATCAGTGTTGACTTTTACGTCCAGACCATAAACAAAAAATGAAATTTCTGTATATTAAAAACAATTGCCAACATTTCTTTTTCAATCTGGGCATATTTTTTCTCAGCTGAACTCAAACTTCTAGATGCAAATGCAATAGGGTGTCCATCTTGGAGTAAACAGGCTCCTAACCCGTCTTTAGATGCATCAGTCTCAATTTCTACATTTTTACTTGGATCAAAGAATGACAATATTGGAGCTGATGTTAAAAAGTATTTTAACTCATTTAATGATTTCTCATGAATATCTAGTCAGTTAAACTCATTTTCATATTTAGTTAAATCTCTTAAGGGGGAAGTAATTTTAGACATATTAGGCACAAACTTGCCTAAAAACTTGGCCATTCCTAAAACTCTTAATAAGTCTGATTTACTTTCTGGCCTTGGCAATTTTAATATAGCTTCTACATAATTTTGATTTAATTTTATGCCATCTTTAGAATAAATTTGACCCATAAATTTAACTGATTTACACTTAAACTGTATTTTATTTCTATTAAATTTAATACCATAACTGAGAGCTCTTTCCAATACCAAGTGCAAATTTTTATCATGCTCTTTCTCATTTTTTCCTGTGACAATTATATCATCAAAATATAATCCAATACCATCAATGTCACCAAATATTTCATAATTTTTCTTTTGAAACACTTCTGGTGCGGAGCACAATCCAAAAGGTAAACGACAATATTTGTACCTACCAAATGGAGTAGCAAAAGTGCAATAATCTGAACTTTCTTCATCTATCTTTACTTGTAGATATCCATCTTTCATATCTAACACAGTAAAAAACTCTCTGTTACATAAGGTAGCAGCGATTTCATCTGCAGTTGGGATTGAAAAATACTCTCTTTGAATTGCTTTATTTAAATACTTAGGATCTAAACAAAGACGCAAATCACCATTTGTTTTTTCCACAATCACAAGTGCATTCACCCACTCAGTAGGCTTATCAACTTTACAAATGACACCTTGTTTCTCAAGCTCATTTAACTTACTTTTTAGTCTATCTCGTAAAATATGAGGAATCCTTCTGAGCGGTTGCACATGCGGTACAAAATCTTTCTTTAATGTAATATGATGTTCTGTTGGATATTTACCCAACCCATTAAAAACACTAGGATATTTATTTACTATATCATCAAGAGATCTAAAATATACATTATCAAGAGATTTACAATTAACATTTATACTAGCTACTTTCTTTATTAATTTTAAATCTACACAAGCCTGAAGTCCAAGTAAAGGTAATTGATCAAGTGTATCTACTACAATAAATAAAACTTGAGCCACATTCTCACCAACTTTACAGTCTAATAAAATTTCACCTTGTGGTTTAATTCTGAACTTATTATCACCATATGATACAAGGGTAACTCCAGTTTTATTTATTTTATCTTTCAGTTTCAATTTTTCAATCAAGTTAAGTGATAATACACTCACTTCAGCACCTGTATCTAACTTGAACTCGACTAACTGATTATTAACACATACCTCCTGCTTCCAACATAAGTTTGCTTTTACGGACCCGATTGACTGTATACCATCAACAAAATACTCATCACTTGTGTCATCATCTTCAGTATTCACCTTGCAACTACATGCTTCAACTTCATGAACTTTTTTCTCCTTGGTTTTGTTGTTTCTTTCTGGTCTGACTTCTTTTTTCCTACACACAGCAGCAAAATGATTCCGACCTTGGCATTTTGCACATGTTTTCCCATATGCAGGACATTTACCAGACTTGCCATGTTTGTACCCACAAAAGTTACATGGTTTCTTATTGTTTTCTTGATCACTATTTTTCTGTACAGCATCCACTTGACTTTCATTTCTTAATATTTTTGACTGCGATTTACTTGACTCGGTTGCTCTGCAAACATCTACTGCTTTTTCTAAAGTAAGTTTTGGTTCTCGTAACAATCTCTCTTGTATTACTTTGTCCAGTATTCCCATTACAATTCTGTCCCTTATCATGTCATCATGATCCTTGTATTGTGTTGTCTTAATAGCTTTTCTTAATTCTGTTAAGAAATTATCAAAATTCTGACCTTCTTTTTGGCATATACTGTTAATTTGTACCTCTCAAACGTGATATTTGTTTTGGTGAACAGTATTCATGAAACTTCTCTCTAATTTTATCTAACTTTTTCTCGTCTCCATTTTCAAAACTGAAACTATTAAATAATTCTAGTCCTTCGTCACCTATCAGGTTTAAAAAGACTGCCACTTTCTTATCTTCAGATTTCGACTCTAGATCTGTCGCTGTTGAAAATATATCAAATTTTTGGCTGAATCTCTTCCAGTTCTCTGCAACATTTCCATCTAAGACTAGGGGTTCTGGGGGTTTGAACAAGTTTTCCATTTTTTACAATTTTCTTCTTAATTGTTTTTCTAGCGGAATTTTTACCCGTACCAGCCTAACACCATGTAATATGTTATGGTCTTGAAATAAAACTATACTAGTTAGTAGTATTCCGTGTTACCAAATAACAATAAAAGGGAGTTACAACAATTAGAAAATGTGCAGATATATTCGTGCCTACGTGACCAACTACTATCTAGCTACAGATGACTGTTTTGTGTCTATTGTCAACTAGAGAGCTACTGCACTTAAATGATAGGGACATGTCACCTCTTATCACACAGGTGTTTTTCGTATTTTTAGAGATTTCTCAAAAATTCTTTTTTATGTGATTCTACAGACCAAATACAACACAAATCCGTGTGCGCACGTTGAAAATTAGATTATTTATAATTTAAATAATATTTATTATAAAAAAAATGATACTTACGGGACGGGGGAGAAAAAAGGGGTGTTTGGGCGGGGTACTGCAGAAGGCCGCCGGGAGACACTGAAAAAAGGACTCCACGTCACTAAGGACCCTAAGTCACTATAAACATTTGCTAAAGAATAGTTAAAATATGGCATATTTGAAAGTAATAAATTCAAAACATTTCGTCCTCCATCATTCAATTGACATTTGACTGTGACATTTGACACTTTGACACCGTCTCACAACTGAAAATCAATGTTGCCAAACGTTGATCTATCCCGTAAAATATAAAGAAGGGAGCATCTCTACATGTAATTCTACGGTTCTACGAAAATATAAGTTTTTTAAATATATACTAATTTTCGACGCGTAATCAATGATGTTTTGTCATTAGGCTCAATTAGCGTAGGAATTATAGTTTGCACAGACGACAACGCATTCGCGCATGTTTTGGTTAGTTCAGGCGGGTTGGTTAGCGTGGTTATTTCGAGGGTGTTAATTCATTGGTTAGTTGGTTAAACGTCGCGGGATGGAATTGTACATTAAATTTGCCGCTAGGTGCAAATGTCAAATACTCCTCCACCCTCAACTAAAATGGTTGCTCCATTCCTGTCCGCAGACACGAGCAGCTAAATGTACAATCCCATCCCGCGACGTTTAACCAACTAACCAATGAATTAACACCTTCCAAATAACTACGCTCACCTACCCGCCAAATAACTAAATCAATCCGACCAAAAAGAGTGAAACTAATGCATTATAATATATTTTTTTAACATTTTCAGTTTGGTTCTTTTTTTTTAATAACTATTACTAGTGACAACAGTCACGTACTGTTGTTGGTGCACTTCGCTGAAACGTTGGGTAATTTTTCATAATTTTTGTTATAATAATAATGTCGTTTTCATAATTTAACGCTCATCGCTTAACATCAGATATTTAGCAAGAATTTTACCTCTTTTCTTAGGAAGTTTGGGAACATTGCATTAAAACGTCATATGATGTATGAAATGGTTAATGACGGACGAAATGTCGTTTTGAATTTATTACTTTGAAATTTGCCATATTTTAACAATTTTTTAGCACATTTAATAGTGATTTAGTGTGCTTAGTGACGTGGAATCCTCTTTTCAGTGTCTCCCGGCGACCTTCTGCAGTACCCCGCCCAAACACCCCTCTTTTGCTCCCCGTCCCGTAAGTATCATTTTTTTCATAAATGTGTAAATTATAAATTATCTAAAAAAAAAATTTCAACGTCCGCACACGGATTTGGGTGGTATTTGGTCTCTAGAATCACGTAAAAAAAGAATTTTTGAGAAATCACCAAGAATACGAAAAACACCTATACTGCATAATTACCAAGACTATTATGGGCAGAAGATTTTACGATAAAAACTATTTGGAATGTAACAGCCAAGCTATTAATGGAAAAATACCAAAAAGAATATAATATTAAATTTAATACTTTTACTGACACCGAATTTGATATCTCCCGGGAGGCAAAAAGTGCCAAAAGGAAGGAATTGCAGATAGACCCTCTAAAAAGAAAAGAAAGCTCTAAGGCACTCAAAGACGAAGAATTCAAATTGATGGTACGAAATTGTAACGATGAATGTCTCGATGGTTTACAAAAAAAATATTTTTTGTATTATCTTACGAATTGGCATGGCGAGGAGGAGTGGGAGGAAAATGTTTTGTTTCCTATTTTAAAGATGATTGATAATATAGGACAACCCACCGGTCGCATTGAATACAACCCGATATTCGATAAAATCACTCAAGGCGGAGATAAACGGGATATATGTCCAGTAAGGCTATTCAAAAAAATTATGGAAAAAAGAAAATTAATTGATGTTTCAAGATTGTTTTTAACTGTAAATCCTTCCTGGAAAATGGGTAAATGTTTCAAGAACCTTCCTGTTGGGAAAAATACGATTGCTCAGTAGGTGTCTATCGAAGCGAAAAAATCAGGTTTGGCTACGGAGAAGGTAAAAATTACTAATCATTCGCTACGTGCAACAGCTGTGTTGACACTAGTAAAGAAGGGGTTTGAGGAAAACACAATGATCAAAATAACTGGGCATGCAAACCTTACCTTCAATTCGATGACGAACATCATCAGAGGTGCAATTAGGGAGGGGGGGCAGATGACCAGTGTGTGTCGTATAAAATTGGTTTTAACCTCACATGAATCTTACCTTATAGTGACCTAAGCCCCCCAAAAGACTTTAGCCTCCTAAAAGTATATGTCTAGTTGCGCCCCTGAACATCATGAAAATCTGGTAGAAAAAATGAGAGACAATGAAACTGCTACAAGTTCTAATAATAATACTAATGTGTTTTTGTACCTACTATAGGTTCTTTTAATTTCAATTCAAGTACCGCAACGGAATTTAAACATAATAATTTTTATAACTGTGTTTTTTACTGCAATTCTTCATGTAATTTTTAATTTGTAATATTATAAGTTCTGTTTCATTTTATTGCTTCATTTTTAAATAGATTTTTTTTAATATATTCAAATAAATGTTTTAACAAATCTATGTATTTTCACTTGTATTTTCATGTTTTTTATTCGGGAAATATTCTACCGAATTGCACTCAAAATTAACCTGATAATTTTTCATTTAAGCATGTTGTCAATAAAAAAACAGCATTCGTTTATATTCATATTTCTTCCCCTAGGAGATGCAAGACCTTGTCGTTGTTGGGGAAGCTCCTGGTCAGGTGCTGGGGGGAATCCGCTCTAGCACTTGGCTTGGTCTAAGAAGCATCTCACTCATCGTCTTGTCCCTGACTGTAGTGTCGTGGCCAGGGAATTGCACCAAGACATATAACGATACCGGGCGGGGCTAAAGGACAGCCTCAACCTTGGGGCACCGGGGGGCACCCCATTGTATTTTACCCCTTACTTCTACATGCGGGGCTCTGTAGAAGTGGACCGACTGTCCCTAGCGACTCATAGGAACACTATGAGATCTGATAATAATAGTAATAAAAACATCACCGGTGAAGCTGTGGGGAAACCCCCTAGCGACACTGGGAATAGTAACAATGAAAGTTCCAAGGGGCCAAACCCAAAGAGAACTACAGGAGAGGTGGCTGACACTTGCGTGAGACCATCCTCCGCAAGTGTCATACAAGCTACCACCTCCTCCAAGGGTCGGGAGCCTACCTCCTACCTCTAAACCCAACAGGCGACACAAGCTACCGTTTCGTCTACCCGGCCTGGGTCGTAGCTCCTCGACTGTGAGGGACACGGGTCTCCGTAGGAAGTCCTGGGACTGTATGATGAGTTATAACTCAAGAAAGGGGGACACAATAGATCTCTAAGGTCGCAGAGATTAACCCCCCTCCCACTTATTCTATATTCTATTCTATTCATATTTTGGTTGTGAGGTTCTGTATGAAGCTTTATGAAGATTTAATCACTAAGAAATAAATTACCCATTTCAATATTTACATATAAACAGTGGATAAATGATTAAGCAATTTGTCCTATTAAAATTAGGTGCAGAAAACTAGCCATAGATACCTATTTATTTGCCTTCAATCTGCATAAGCACGTTTCTACCATGGCTTTTTAATATTAATAGGAAACGACATAATAGATATATGTTAATTTTTCTCCGTGTTTAACTTGTGGGCTGTGCTTTTGTATAAATTTACTAAAAATATTTAAAACAGTAACTAATTTTTCAGTCTCGGCGGTTTCTTTTGAACTATTGGTAACAGAACGATCTCCCATAGTGAAAACAGGGCTTGGTTCGTTACAGGACGGTCAATAAAAGTTTAAGCAACAAATCGTGTGTTCTGTGTAAAACAAACTGCAATTTATTTCATGTAAACTATTTTTTATTTTTATTAAATAAATAAAAAAATAACATGCTGTTGAAGTAGACCTATTTTAAACATTTTTAATATAGTAAGTATTGATACTAATATACTTCCTTGTCTTTATTTAACTTAACTTACACAGCGTTTCGGTTAGGTATATTTGTCACGAAAAAATCCGTGATAAAGCTTCATTCAGAACCTCCCAATTAGTGGAATAAATTAGTGGTTTCAATTACACTTTATACTTTTTAGTTTGCGATCATTCACAATATCTAAAAACACAATTAAAATTAATAAAATATCCTAGCAACAGCTTGCGTTAGTCTGTTGTATCCATAGAGAAAGCATAATATTTAGCTTATAAAACAATAAACTTTTGATTTCTAACCAAATTTTTTCTTGACGGGTGATAATCAAAGGCCAAAATGACATTCCACGCAAATTTTGAATTATAATTAGTGGAAAAGTCAAAAGTTTGTTAACTTTTTCGAATAATTGAAAGGTACTACCACTAATTATGACGTTCTGAATACTTACATTAAAATTAGGTGAACAAACTTCTACGGCTAATTGAAACTACCTACTAATTTATTCCACTGATTTCAAGGTTCTGAATGAAGCTTAAGATTTAAAAACACCGATTAATACGGATTTTTTATGCATATATTAATTTGCTTCTTTTGAAAACTAAAACAATAAACGTAAAAGGGGAATTGATCATGGGAATGAGTTAAAATCAGATGGGACCAGC